GATCATTCTATCTATTATAGTTTTCGAGTAAATCAATGAAATGTGAAAACACTGCTTTTTCAACTATTTTCTCAACTTTGAACCGAATTACAGCCAAACGGTAAAACCACAGTAATATATTCGATACTTGCTAGATTCCCCAAAGATTCAGCTTTCATAGCATCTTTTGGATTCATTCTACATATTATAGTTTTCGAGAAAATCAATGAAATGTAAAAACAGCTCATAACAGGCGACTCGGTGGCAGTACGAAGATTATCTCACCAATTTGGATTGAGAATGAAATTAAAATACTTGATTTTGATAACAGTTGATTATATTAGATGTACTGAGTAAACTACAATGCCGGCAGTTAGCTCATTAGAAAGGTTCTTATTCGATTGTTTAAATATCATGAGTGGTAATCGATTAATTTAAAAAAAAACGTAAAAATATTGCAGCCAATTGCAAAAATAGTTAAATAAATGACTAACTTATAATACAAACAGACAAATCAATAGAAAAATTATATATTTTTATAATACAGTTATATACGTTAAACATGTTCGTTTTCAACTCTGACTCACTTTCTTTTTCGATCCTTAGTCGTGTTTCATTAGTTAGAAGATCGAGGAGTACTCCTCGAGGATGGCCTCGGTGTCTATGGAAGCCGAATCGCTGTTGCTCTTGGTATTGGCAACAACGCACTTGACCATCGCCGTGAAGAAGTTGGTGTTGTTGGGCTTCTCCGAGTAACGTTCGTACTGCTCCAACGAGTCCTGCAGCTTGAGCAGCAGACTGCCGTAATTTGCCTTCACGACATCCAAAATCTGCTCCTCAGATGGGGTCGACAGATGCTGCGATTCGAGCCATTCCTCGATCTTTGGCGCGAAATGCTTACGTATCGCTCGTATGTTGATCAGACTGTTGTTCAATTTGTGAGCGTTATCCTTGTACTCGCTGTCGCTCGTTTCGTACGCGAGACACATCGCATCCAGATTGATGAAGATCTCCTGCGATCGGATCAGCTCGTAGTAGAGTTCGTCGTAGCTGCCGGGCGTCGGAAGATACGTATCGCCGTAGGTTATGAAGAAGTTGAGGATGTTCACCACCCTCATGCATAGATCGAAGATGTTCATCCTCTTCGTCAGGTTGCTCTCGTTCTGTGTGAGGAACTTCAGCAGGGAGGTGAGCGCCTCCCAGAGATCGCCCCATTTGTAGTTGATACGCACTCGGCATCTCTTCTGGTACACGAGCAGACGATGGACCACTCCGATCGCCAACAAGTACAGTTCCAGCGGCAACTTTTTCATCTTGTGGCTTATTATGAACTCGACCAGCAAATCTTAAATAACAAAAAACAACAACAATTGGAGCACAAGAATTAGTTAATGAAATTATCTCACCAAGTAATATGCAGACGAGCGGTTGCGAAACGGCGCCTCTGTTGGCAGTGGGTTTCTGGTGTCTCATGGGCATCCGGTGCAGCTGCACCTTAAAGGTCAAACTGACGTCGTGCATTAATGAATTGGCGTACTGATCCTCCGCGACGCAACTCAAAATGATGAAGCACAGTTTGACGGTGTTCGTGCCCGCCTCCGTCTTCGTGTCTTGCATCACGATCGAGCAGTACTGGAAGAATGTTACGAGCAGATTCGAAGGCTGTGCGGTTACGTCGATGACTGGGACGTTGGTCAGGTCGGGAGTCGGATGTCCAGCATTCAGGGTGTTGCTGGGCGAAGGAGGTGAACTGGTATCCGTCTGCATCTGCGCCAAAGTCGTGATGAAGTTCCTGTTCAGATGGATGGCCTCGTACAACGCCAACAGTAACGCGTTGTTCGCTTTGATCTTTTGCGTGCGAACGCCCTCCTCCTCGGAGATGAACATGCTGCCCACTTTGTTGGTGAGCGATGAGAACCACGAGGTGTTCTGCGTCTCCGATTGCTGCGCGACGAATTGCTTGCAGAACTCTGTCAGCGATGAGGTGATCACCTGTCCGTACCCGTTGAGGACGAGCTCGTCGTCCAGTATGGACAGCTTCACGATGTACGGATTGGCAGACTCGTGTTTCCTGTAGTTCACCAGAAGAGTGATCAGCAGGACGACGTCGTGTCCGTGGATCTGTCGCGTCGTCGACTCGCACAGCAGCTGCACCAGACTCTCGAACATCGACGTGATCATGATGTACTCGATCAGCGTGTTTTGACTTACGCTCTCCGTGCCAGTCATGAACACCAGCAGCAGCTTCAGACACAACCCTTTCAGACTATCCGGATGCTCCCCTAAAAACAACAACAATTCAATATCATCCCTAAATATTTAATTCGTTATAAAAATATACCTGTAAGGAAAGTTTGGCAATGTGTGAGCAACTGTTGCATCTTCTCTTGAGCATTCTGCACCCCAACCAGCAAACTGATGACATCGAATCCCGGCTCAGTTCCAGTCTTTTTGTAGATTGCATGCACCAACACGCACAGCGTCTGCATGGCTATCACAGCTCTATAAGGTTCATGTCCCAGCGTATTGATGCACTGCACAAACAATGCGTTGATGTTATCCTTGGCAGCGGCGAGCTGCTCATGGGTTAGCTTCTGTATCTCGGACTCCAGTTGTCCCAATTTCGGTTTCAAAAGGAAAAACTCATCCCACACATTTGCATTGCTCTTCGCCAGATCTTCACCCTTGCAAAGGGACTCGTAGATCTGCACTACTTTGCCCTTCAACTGTTTCTTGGACCAAGACCCACTCCGTTTTCTCGTCGTCATCGCCGCTCCTGATGCTTCTTTATTAGTATTACTATAACATGCGGTTAAGGGCGTTCTTCGGCCCACTCATCACTCGCACTCACATTCGTATATTATCAATCAAATCGTTAACACCGATTAATTGCAATTAACAACAAAACAACCACCACCTTGAAAGAAACGTCAAATTTGACGTGCAACGACTTGCATAAAGATGTGATCTACTGCTACCTTCAGATCGAACTTAAAAATTAATTTACTTTTATCATTTATTCATTCATTAATTTATTTAAATTAATTAACGATATAATTATTGCTGGTCTTCATATTGGAATATAAACGAACAGCCGGAACAGCCATTAAAATTCGTTTTCGTTAAGTTGGCTGCAATTGAAGAGAAGAAATGTTGCCAGCAGTGGAAATTAAAAGCTTCTGATTTGACGTAAATAATAAGAAGTGGTGGTGTTTTTATCTTTGTGCGTTATTTTGAAAGAGCAAGAAAAACTTGTACTAACAGTGGCATTCCGAGATGAAGCCGAAGAAGGTGAGCAAGAAACGCGATGTGTCGAGCAGCAGTAGCAGCAGCAGCAGTAGTAGCAGCAGCTCCAGTTCAAGCAGTTCAGAAGACAGTTCTTCAGAGTCAGATGAGCCGAAGAAGAAGAAAAAGGCTGCGAAGAAGAGGAAACACCCGAAGGTGAGCAAGAAGAAGAGAGCCAGGGATTCGACTTCTTCGTTGGAGGAAAAGAATGATAAGGCTAAGAAGAGGGATGCCTCCTCAAAGTGGGATAGCCCTGAGGATAAGGAGAAGAAGAGGTTAGTTTCAGTTGGTTTGCTTTGAATAATATTTTTTAAAAATAATGTATTTTGTAGGAAAGTGATGGAGAAGGAGCAGAAGGATGAGGAGAATCGGGCTAGAAGAGTGGACGATGAGAGGAGGAATGGTGGTGGTGAGAGGAGAGATGATAGGGGAAGGAATGGTGGTAGAAACAACGAGAGGAGGAACGACGATAGGCGACGTGCGGAGAGCAACAAGGGTTTCAGGAATGAGGAGAGGGTTGAGAGGAGAGATGATCGTAGGAGGGATGAGAGCAGACAGGGAGGTAAGAGGAATGGGGATTTCGGTAATCATCGCAGGCATGAGAATGATAAGAGGAATGAGAATGAGAAGAGGAATAACAGACGAGAAATGAACGACGATAAGCGATCGTTTAATAGGAGGAGCCCGAAACGTGGCGGTAGAGAAAGGTAGTTAATTGGTTTTAATTTAATTGGAAAACTTTAACGATTTGCTGATTTTAGAAGGAGGAGTGACTCGTTTGACCACGCGAACGCTTCTTGGGGCGGAGGAGGAGGAGGCGGAGCTTCGGAGAATGGTGGAGGCGGTGGGAAGAATGATAACAAGGATAAAGAGAAGCCCAACTTCGGTTTGTCAGGTAAGTTGACTGAAGAGACGAACACGTACAAAGGGGTTGTTATCAAGTACAGTGAGCCGCCAGAGGCTCGGAAGCCGAAGCGCAGATGGAGGCTGTACCCGTTCAAGGGAGAGAAAGCTATGCAGACATTGTACATACACAGGGAGAGCGCTTACCTGATTGGCAGAGATAGGAAGGTCGTCGATCTGCCCGTAGACCATCCCTCCTGCTCCAAGCAGCACGCCGCTTTGCAGTACAGATTGGTACCATTCACAAGAGACGACGGTTCCACAGGTGAAAAATACTACAAATCAATTCATCATCAATTCACTACAATTAAAATGATTTTATTATAGGTAAACGCGTCCGGCCTTACATAATCGATCTGGAATCGGCGAACGGGACGTTCCTCAACAACAAGCCAATCGAGTCGAAGAAGTACGTCGAGCTGTTGGAGAAGGACGTGCTCAAGTTCGGTTTCAGCTCCAGGGAGTACGTGCTCCTCCACGAGAACAGCAAGGACGAAGCCCTCGACGACGACGTGAAGATGGAGGAACCCGAAGTGAAGATCGAACCGAAGACTGAAGTCTGAAAAAAGTGTAAACAACGACAACATAAAATAATATTCTACAATTACTATCACTTCTCTTGCATACAGACATAATTCCTCATTGCATACAATTATTATGAGACTTTCTCTGTTTCGTTTCGTGTGTTTTTTTTTTATATAAATATATTTATGTATAAATTTGGGAACTTAACGCGATGTTATATATATACATTATGAATGTATTCTTTTGTTTTTGGATTAAAGATCCAAGTTGGCGACGTTGTAGCCATGACGATGATGATACACGTTCAATTCTTGTATTTTAAATGTAATTATAACAATTATTATCTTTCGATTTGTAAACTGTTCTTACATACTTAATAGTAATAATTATCAATGATGACTACATGAGACGAGGCGATTTACTTAGTATATTTGGAAGAAATTGCGAAGAAGAAGAAGAAGGAAAAACAAACTAATCTGAAACGTTGAAACAATAAACTTATTTTGAAATTTTCATCAATCTTTTGTAGAAGAAACCCAATTTTTATTCCAATTCACGTAAACATTTATTGTTTTCTTGTGTCATCGACGACGGGAAACAGCGAATAAGAAGAAAAGTTTGAATTTGATGTAATTGGAGTTGCCTAAAATTTGAATTCGATGTAATTGGAGTTGCCTATATACAGAGAAATGTTTATGTAATTCATTTGGTGCATCATATGAATCTATTAACGAAATGAGATCAATAATTGTGATGACTTGAGACGCTTGAAACTATACAACAATGAATAGTTTCAATTAAAGTAATTACACATAATTGAAATGAGAAAGTTCAATTTATCATCAATAGATGACACTACCATGTACGCGCGTTTTTTACTTGAAACTTTACAATTACTTGTAAACTTTATTATACAAATCATTTTTTTTGAAACAGAGATTAGTATACATTTATTAAATGATTTGTCTACTTTTAACTTTCAAAACTAACTTCTAATTCAATTTAAATAAAGAATTATCAACATTTAAGACATATTCAGAATATTTCATGAACGATTAAACCCAATTACACTATTATAACTTAAGTAATTTTAATAATGAATTTACAATTTGAAAAAAATGTGACTTTAATTTCTGCCTTCAAAAGGACTAAAGTAATGGAGTCTAATAGGAATAGGACAAAGGAAAATTTGCAATTTTTCAGTCAATTGAAACGGTTGTTTCTTCTCTGCACAATTATCACCATGATTACAAAGCAGACTTAAGTCTGGTCCGTATATTAATTAGCCTGCTTGATCCCGATGTCGCCGATGTTTGCTTTCCCTTCGTTTGTTTCTCTTCATTTGTTTTTGCTTCGTTGCAATTGCTTGATGAATGGATGATGATGAAGAGACAAAGAGAGATGGAGATGTTAATTGCTGAATGAAGAGAAGAGAAAGAAACTTGAGTTTTTTTTTGTTGCCATTTTAATTAGTCGGAATTGTTACGCACTTCCGACAAGGGGGCTGCTCAACGCGCGCGTTACAGACGACCAATCAGAGGTGCGGACGGAGCGAACGTCTGGTGGGGGAGAGCTCATCAATTGGATGGAATTTCAAAGCCATTCAGAACGGTATCGAAGAGTGCCGCGTTCGCGTCGTCGCCGAATCTTGGAAACACGAACTATCGAACAAGAGACGAGCGAAAAACAATTGTTGTTGTTGTTGTCGCGGAGAGATACGATTTCAAATTAGGAAAACAAAAGAAGAGAAACGATGTCGTTAGGGGTGCGAATCTAAAACATTTGAAACAAACAAACAAACAAAATTAATTAATTAATTTTAAAACGAGCAAGAAAATGAACGTTCCTCCTCATCTTCTTCTGGTGGTGGTTGTTGTTGTTGTTATTACTGTGGTTGTGCCTACTTCTTCTGCTCTTGCCAATACTTCGCTGCAGGATGAGGACGTCGAGGATCATTGCGTGCAGACATGTCGCATGCAGGTAAAACGAAATATATCCTGCTACTTCTTCATTCCTTTTCCAACATCTCCGGAGATTTCTTCGTCCGCCCAAATGGATAACCTTTTGGCGAACGATTCGGGCTATCTCGCGCTCGCCACTATCTTAATGGCTTTTTTTTCCTAAATTTATTTTTGTTTTGTTTTCATCGATATATGTGTGTAACGTAACGTGTAA